ACTAAAAAAAAAAACTATTTTATGCATACTTGATGACTGAGCAAATTAGTATAAATATATTGATATTGGAGGAAGCTAGGGTTCTTACTATCAGAAAATACAGAATGAGAGACAAGGAAAAGCCCTGTAGTGATAGATTTAACAATATCATTACAAATAAATAATTTTTTTTCCTTTTTTAACCAATCAAGACTCCATGATAAACAAATTTTAAAAAAACATACAAACAAATAACACACTTTCCCTCTATCTCTCCCTTTCTCCCCTCCTCTCATCCTCCACCCTCCTTCTGCTGAAAGGGTGATGGTGTAACATCTCACCTCACCAGTAGGAAAGAAAGAACACATCTAATCCTCAGATTTCAAAATATTATTCCCTATTAAAAGAAACCAGAGCTTCTTGGAGCAACCACTAATTCTGATGTCAGGCCTGTGACAGGAAAAGTACAAGTCTGGAACACCTTGCACCAGAAGGGAAAGGTTCAAAAAATGACAGGAACCTCTCAAACACATACAACTGCCTGTTTGAAGGGGACTTTCTCTGCCAAAGCTGAGCAACTTGTACATCAAAATGAATAGCAGTAGTAATGGATTATAAACCACTGAATAAGTAAACCTCTATGATTCCATTTTGATACGTAGTGTAGCACACAAATACATAAATAAATGAATAAACAAGGAGAAAAGGGAAAACTTTACATTAAAATACCAAATAAAAGTGTAAGTAAGTTCTAGAATAATGGTTAGAATATCACCATTTTGCAACTATCACTATCACAAATGAATCAGGCAAGAATTAACAGATACTACACTACTGAAAGTTAGTGAGGGAATAGGATCATTGCCCAGTCTGAAAGTCTCTCTCCACAGATTTCGATCATTACAAAGGGAAAACTGGTTAACCTAATAGGAGAAACCTGGCAAGGGCCATGTTAACTAAGGTGGTCAAAGTTCACGTCACCAATAAGGGGACTGATGGTTATCATGTGCCTCCTGACACACGCCTCAGTGTGACACGACACACGGAAGACACAAGATCATTCATGTAGTATCGTGTAGTATCCTTCTACTTCATCTAAATTTAATCATGCACATCAGGCAAACCCAAATTTAAAGACATCCTGAAAAAACCTGGTCTGTTATCTTCAAATGTCAGTATCATGAGAAAC